AACAGGGCTGTCTCTCATATAATATAATTCAGGTGTCTTTCTCATGTATCCAAGACCAGCTGCACTCAGCTCCTAACAGGAAGAATACCAGTGCTTGAATAGCTTAAAAATGTTTATTTTGATGAGTTTTAACTTTAGCTAGATCTTCAGAAACTGCTTGTACCATTCGTTCTGTAGTTTTCTTCAAGCTGTTTGCTGTGTGTATGGCATGATCCAAAGCAGAGTTTAAAATCTGTTGGAAACCAATCATAATCAAACTGTTAGATATTTATTTCCCTGGTAATTTAAAATATCCCTTTACATACAAAACAGAATTGTATTGTGTTTAAAAAATGAGACACAACATTGTCAAATGACACCTGCAGAACTGTCCTGCAAACTCTGGGGGAGAAATCAGGAGGCAGAGATTAGGGGCAGTCTGGGGATGGTGCCATAATCTAAACAGTAGGGCTGTGCGAAACACTATTGTTTCACTTCGATGTCTGTTTTACTGTTTCAAAGGGACAGTGTTTCATTTAGTTTCGAAGCACTGTCCCGTTTCCTTTTGTCAAAACTTTAATTGTTTGACATTTCGCCCATAGGCTATAATGGGGAATCATGAAAATGCCTAAAACTTGGTCATTTCTTGCCCGATTTGAATGAACATTACAGGGATGGTAGCCCATTCTGAGGCCATAAAGCCTGCCAAGGAGATAGGTGCAGAGGTTTCTGGGAAACTGTACCTCAGACTGGTCAAACCAATAGTCCAGACACTTGCCAGCAGCCTCCTGTCATCCAGTGTGTAGGTCAGGGGCTCGCACCCCTGGGAGGGCTGTGGGGCTGTGCCAGACTCTTGCTGGGGGTGCAAGCCCCTGGATCTGAGCCCTGATGAGCGGAGGCTCAGGCTGCGGCAGCAGCAATCTTCTTCGGTGCTGAGTGCAGCCCGCACCCAGCACTGGTCCCAGGTGAACAAGCAACCTGAGCCTCCTCTCATCGGGGCTCAGATCTGAGGACTCGCACCCCCAGGAGGACTGCCGGGCTGTGCTAGATGAGAGAAAGCTCAGGCTGCCGCCTGGGACTGGTGTTGGGCATAGCCTGCACCCAGTTCTGGGGAAGATTGCTGCTGCCACCAGTCCTAGGTGGCAGCAGCAGCCTCCTGTCATCTGGCACGCAGATCTTGGGGCTTGCACCCCCAAAAGGAGTCTGGCACAGCCCCGCAGGCCTCCTGGGGGTGAGCCCCCAATCTGCACGCCGGATGACAGGAGGCTGCTGCCTGGGACCGGTACTAAAGCCAAGTAATCCTGGCTTTGAAACTTGAAACATTTTGGGTGCCCTTGTTTTGTTTCAAAGCTGTTTCAAAGCTTTTTGTTTCAATTCGATTTTTTTTTTCTGTTTTCAGCTCGAAACATGTCGAAACAGCTTTGAAACGAAACACCCAGTGAAATTTTGCACAGCCCTACTAAACAGGCCCCCAGGGCTAGTTAACTGTAGAGCAGGACTGCCCAACTGGTTGCCAGTTGACCACATCCAGGCCCCAAGCCGTTAACCTGTGGCCGTCGGGCTCCCAGTTCCCCCATGGCTCCAGCTCCTGCTGCTGCCACCACTGGAAACTTTGAGCTTAGGAGGCACCTGAGGACCCCATGCAGTACAGCAGGTTCACACCTGCCGTGTGATGCTGGGGTGGAGGGCAGCATATGGCAGTGTTCAGGGCATGGGGGATCTGGTATGGTGCAGTGGATGGTGCCCACTGTGTGAAGCATAGCATGGTGTGTGGCCCTGGGGAATGTGTGGCCCCCAGCTATTCAAAAATTGAACAGCCTTGCTATAGGGCAAGAAGCAGCTCAAGACTGCCATCATGCAGACGTGACAGCCATTTCCTGTCCCCCTAAGCTACCCGTTCTGAACTGTCCATTTTAGAAGCTAAGCAGGAAATTCTCTGCTCTGTCAGTTCTCTCTGTGGCTTAATGCAGAAATTATTTAGCATGCGTTTGTCTTAAATGTAGTAAATTGAAACTTATTGAAGCTAAGTGAAAAAGTTGTTACATGAGTTTGGCATAGGTTGGTAAATTGCATGCATTTGTATTCAAAAGCCAGTGACATTCCCCACCCCACCTTGTTAGACAACAAGTGCAACACAAGTTATGTCATTTGATAGTATCTATATAGAATTTTAAAGACTGCCACTGAAAGTCAGTCTGACTTATTCCCCCAAGTTACCTGGATATCTTTGAAAATTTCACCTTCAATTCTTACCTTTGTCTTGGTATCACTGTTGTATCTATTTCCAATCACTGAATTACTACTGTGAGTCTTCCTGATGGCTAAATATTGAGGTGAAAGGATAACTGTATCATACATCCTTGAGAACAAGGCTTTGGGAACCTCCAAGTTTTGTCTAGAACAGAAAACATGGAATATTCATACAAACATTTTTTGTAGTGACCAAAACAAAAATCCTATTTTTAAACAATACTACTGTAATTTTTTATATTGTATTACTTGTTTAATAATAGCAGTATTATTGGTGTGTTACATTTATGCTATGTATACTGCAATTACAGACTGATAGTTGCTTGATGTGGGAGTAGGGAATCTGGTGTTATAGACAGGTATGTTCATTAGAACATGCAGTAGTGCCTCCTTTGAAAGAGAAGGCACTCAGTATTAAAAATGTTTAATTTGGCATATGTCTAAATTATAGTAAAATCCTATTTAATATAAAATTATAGCGGGTTTCTATGAGCAGATAAAATAAAGAACCACTTACATTATCAAGGGAATTAAAAAAACAAAAGACTAGACTATTTTAATATAAGTACTGCAACTCATTGCTACAGACATCTGTCACAACCTGGCTTGCTTGATTAGAACAAATCTAATAATGTATACAATTTTTCTCCTTTTATATATTGTGCTTTCACTAGCTACAATTTTAATATGCAAAACAGAATTGCATACATGCATACCAGTGCCTTCCATGCATGCTGCATCTTTTAATAATAATTTTCTGTGGTAATTTTTATAGAAATCAACTGCTATCACTTACTGTTCAAAAAGTCTGCGTACAAATTGATCTGGCTGTTTGTTTCTGGAAACACTTTGGGCAGCAATTCTTTTTTTCTCTGAAAAAAGAGATGACATTTTGAGGCCATAGTCATCAAGTAAGGTACTGTAAGTCTATAGGAAATTATAGCTAATTTTTCATGTATGACAGAATAGGGTTTTGTGGGGTGGCTTTTTTTTTGAGTGGGGGGGAGGAGGAGGTTGTATATGTTCTCAATCTGTGTAGCCCACTACACTAATGAATAGACAAATTAGCAATGCACTTATGCATGAACAATATTAAAATTGGAGCAAGTATTTCTGGTACAAGCAGATATCCTCCTGGAAGATCTTCCTTACAAGAGAAACTCTCCCAAGAATAAACTTCTGTACACTACCCTCTTTGCCTGGTCTGGAGGGGGGAAAGGGAACAGCACCTGCTGTCCCCTGCCTCTTCCCCTAACTGTGGACTGGGCTTTCCCTCAGCCTAGTTCCTGGGCTCAATGGCTTCCCCTTGCTACTGTTGCTGCCCAGCTGTGTGATGGGGAAGGAAGGGTGACTTCCATGCTGGCAGTGGCAGGAAGCAAGCTCAGGGAAGCTTTTCTTGTCCCAGTAGCCAGCCCTGCTGGCTTCAAAGGCCACATATGCTGCCCAGCTGGGTGGCACATATAGCAATTTAAGGGTGCCTATACACATGCAGTGAGGCTGCTTGGACATACTGTAACTAAAGCCCCCAGAGCATCATATGTATTCGCATCCCCACATTGAAAAATGGTGGCAGGGGTGGATTAACTAAAGCTCAAACAAGCTTTAGTTAAAGTGCCCCTGCCACTATTTTTCAGTGCAAGGATGCTGAAACGCATGTCGCCAGAGTCTGCTGGAATGTAATTACCATGCTTCAGCAGACTCCAGTGTCATGTGTATCAGCGTTCCCGCTCTAATTGAAGTACCCCCTCCCTCCTCCTAGAGCATGTGTATAAATGCCCTAAAAGCCTATAAGGCTAAGAGAGCCCTCCCAGAAGCAGTTGGACTGGGGAACAGACTTGTCCCCATCCTCGCTCCCCTCTCAGACCTGGTCTTGGGAAGGTGCAAGGAGCAGGGAAAGGGAGACAATTACAGGCTAAATACCTCTCTTGTTTCTTCTTTTGGAAACATTTCTAGGAATGGACATTTCTCAGAAGTTTCCACTGCTAGAAATGAAAAGTTTTGTTTTTTTTTCCCTGGACCAACTGTGTCTCTGCAGAGTTGCACAGTTAGTATTTCACTTGGTAAAAACAGTGATAGATTTTTTTTTTTAAGTGCTATCCTACAGCCTCTGCTTTGGGGATTGTTCTGTGACATAACATTTATTAAACTAACTGTTTTTCTAATCAGTCATGGGGAGCAGTACAAAAAGCATCTCCTCTGCTTTACCCATTGAATTAATAAATAACAACAAAAATACCTAGAAAAAGTTTTATCTGCCAATTCAAGATGTTAAGACTCTTGCAATCGTTGCTGTTTTTCTTAAAAGCCCAGATTGTGTCTAGAGGTAATATATTTTGTTCTTTCCATGCTCTTTTAATTAGTCTTTTATTCATTAATCCTTTCCCTCCATTATTATTTGTGGGGTTTATAAACTGCAGAAGTCTGACCAGTGTCTTTAATAGCTTCCTCTTCTATGACTAGTAAAGAGATTCCAACGGTCCTCCACCTATTGCAGGCAAATCAAAAGGAAATCCCAGGTATCAAGTTAGTAAAGTGCCTAATATTTGGATACCAAGACAAAAAAGGGAAAGCACTTAAAGACTATTCTTAATTGATATTTTAATACAATAAAAGCTGCCTTAACCAGCACCTTACAAGCCAGCATGCTCTATTAACCAGCATGCCGGCTTGTAAGGTAACAACGGAACTGGAAGTGCCCACTGTGGCACTTCTGGTTTCGCTGAGCCCCCACAGCCCAGGGCATAGCAGCCTGTTTGGGCCTCTCAGTTAACCAGCATATTTTGTTATGCGGCACCCCCCATTCCCCGTGGGTGCCGATTAAAGCTTTGGCTGTAATTAGTAAAAACAAAAAATGGCTTGGTGACCAATCAAAGTGGCATTCTATGAAGCGCACAGAATCCTTCATAAAAATATAAAGCCCATTTCCTAGATGCATTTTTAAACATGCCAGTAACAATGCTTGCTTCTGTATTGTCCAACCAACAGTGTTTCAAAACGCTGAGCTGTCTCCCTTGCCTTCTCCTAGACGCATCCATTCCTTGATCAGACTTCAGTTTAGTATTGTACATTTCAATATACTGTCTACACAAAATCTCTTTTAAAAGTTGGTGCTTGTACTGTGTAGACTGCACACCAAACATTGCACTGCAATTACGTCAGTGGTATTTACCAATATTATCTTTGATAGATTCCTGGGTGCTTTCATTTTTTTGACAATGGATGCATATATTTGTACTCCAATCCCTGGACTGTAATGATGCTGAGGGCAAAAGGAAACTAATGACAGCACAGCATAATCATAACAAATGCATTAATTCTATGTAGCACTTGCACAGCATTTTATATTTCAAAATCTTGGTACTTAATCTAAGTATTCCTCCCTGTGAAACATGAGCCAGAGTGTTGAGAGACTTCAAAAATTGCTTTGAGTGATCAACATTTCTGAAAATAATCAGGCTGTCTGACTTGTTGAAAATCATACAACATGACAGTGGCAGAAGCTGGAATAAAAAAAAAGATTAGTTTATTTTCATAGAACACTGCACAGTGGCCCAAGAGCAAGTGGTAGTTGGCATAGTGATACCTAAGATTTCAATATTTGGAACATGTTGGTAGAAAACATAAGGTGCCATCCTGTCTCACCAAGGGACTGCTATAACTGACCAAAAAAACATGCGAGTCTCTAGGGTCTGTTGCTTACACTAGGAAGCATTTGTGTGACCTGAAAAGGGATTCTGCTTTGTTGCAATATATTTAGTCACACTGTACTCATGAGTTGAATTGCTCATGGGATACACTCAGTGTGTGCATATTTCATGACCATAGGTTTACAGAAGGACTTTCCAGAGGACAAGCAACTATTTATATAAAGGTGGATTTCATAATCTCTCCCTGAAAGATCTATACTATACTGAATTGGTCAAGCCAACTTGAGCACTGGCATTAATACAACTCCAACTGTTTATATGGAAGCTGAGGTTTTCCTTTTGCCATTACAGATATAGGCTGTAATACATAAAGCTTGGCTTGTGGATAGTAGTCTTCCAGTAACACGCTATACTCACGAGGTGAGCTGAGATTTTTGTTTCTACACATGGCACAGGACTGAATAGATTCTTTGCAGCTCCCACATTTAAACCAATCTCTGCTTCCTGTGTTGTATCTGAAACCTGAAAATAAGTCATGTCATAATTGTAAAAAAACCAAAAAAAATTACACAGTAAAAAGTTTTCATACAAACCTTTTAGTAGTTTTGACATCATATGTACCTTTGGTTTGGTGTGGCTTATAACTTTTAGTCTTCTGTTCCATAAAGTCATCACTTGGTGAATTAACGTAAGAAACACAGTATGAGATGTCTTCTGAATCACTGCCTAAATCAAAAGTATCAGAAGATGCCTAAAATAAAGTTACAGATAACATGCTGCATTACCTAGTCTATCTATGTATCCCTATGGCTTCTACCAGCATCTGATCAGAGCACCTCGCTATCATGTAATGAATTTCTTTTCTCAATATTCTTCATATGTATGAAGTAGATCCATTTTCTAGATAGAGAATTCAGCCTCATCATATTAAGCGACTTCCCTGAAGACACAAAAGACATCTTTGAAAAATCTGAATTCAGTTCCCATTTTGACACATCTCAGGTGTTCTTCTACAAAATGAGCCTTCTTCCAGCAGGCAGTCCTACTGAAGTCAGACTCGAGGTATGTGGTTTTTGTGTTTTAATGGTTTAAATGCTAAGTATTGGAGAATTTTCTAGAACCACTGAAAGTGAAGAGGATCATGAAAGAAAATGTAAGAATAAGATAACACCTTGTTCTAACACATTCACATAATAGTAGTACTCGCAGAAGTACCAGCGCTTGCATATAATCTCTATATAGACATCACAGAGAAATGAATATCAAAGGTAATTCAGAGAAATAGGAAGCCCACATGCTCAGATCTGAAATCAGCCCCAAAAACCACTCAAGCCACCAGAGTACTCTCAAAGAGAGTAGTACTCGACAGCAGAAATAAACACCTGTTGTCCAGACTCCAATGCCAGTCTTAACTAAACTACTGACAGACCTAGCATCTGCCTTACTCTGAGACAGGGTGGTCTCTGATGGTGTGGGTCCAGTGGAGCTATACTGCTAAGGTGGGATATGAGGGATCAATATGCTCCCAACCCCAAGTAGGGCAATGAATGCCATAATGAATGAGTTTTCTTATAAAAAGCCTCTACCCTACAAATGACAATGATCATTTAAAACCTGTTCAGTTTAATAGCCTAACCAGTTAAGTTTGAAAGAAGTCCACAATCTCTTTTAAAGCCTCTGGGAAGTGCTCAATGTGTGAGCGCAGTTGTGAACATGTACAAAGACTTCTGTGTGCATATCAGTATACTTCTAATTCTGGAAATTTTGCAGCTGCAGTGTTGGAAGTTTATCCAAAAATGTCATTTTAGTGAGTGTTAAGTTTAAAAGGTCCATAAACATGTCTTCGTATTCTGCAGACCTTGTAAATGTTACAGTAACTATGCATCTTACAAGGAACCAATATTACACAGCTGTGGACATTGTGCCAATGCTACTTACTCAGATTAGTATCTGATAAATCTAAATCCATTGCTTTTTCCTGAATGAAGGCTGAATGCTGTCTGCTTACTGACTTTCTGCCGTCGGTTTTTCTGTTCTCCATGTTTTTACTTCTGTATGTTAAAAACAGTACAAGGATTAGATTTTAACAAATAGATAAAAACCTTTATGGGCAATAAGATGTACATTAACATCTTCTAATTCATTCATTTAGGAAAAAGTTTGATTCATAAAGGAAATATGTCTGAACAAGATTACTGAGCTTTGAAGGACAAGATGAAACCTAGGAGTTTGAGTAATAGCTAAACAAAAAATCTAAGCTGTTAATTGCAGCATGAGTCATGGCAATAAGATCTGATTCATCTTAACTTTAAAAAATGAGTAATCCTTTTCTTGTTAGCAAAGCGCATAAATGTTTGTGCACAAACGCATGCATCTGGGCATGCCTTTACCCTAGACAAGTACACACAAATAATGGTAAGGTGACCAGGAACGGTTTAAGTAATCAGTCTCTTAACCAACTCACAGCATTTTTAATATTCTTAACTTGTTGTATTGCTTAAGAGATTATATTCAATTTATACTCACTTCTTAACATAAGAGCGAGGTATTCTGTTTGCCTTATTTGACATTTGTGTTTTCAATCTGGGATGTATGGTATTATCGTATTCATCTGGACAGTTTTCTACTATTTTATGAAAACAGTGATTTGAGGGATGGACTAAATTTCCTGAAACGATTAGAAAAATTAATTGAATAGTAAGTAACTTTTACCAGAATTATGAAATGGTAAGATTCACTGAATAAACTGAAAAAAGTCTGACAGCCTTTTGCTTTTGCTCCTACCTTGCTCTTGCAGCACTTTTAGATGAAGAATGTTGTGCTCCATATTACACACATTTGAAAGCTTGGCTTTAGATGGAGATTTCATTTGCCTAAAATTTAAACTGCTGATTAAATGAAACCAGATTTCATGAGAGAGAATTTCTACAAGTAAGAGAACTGAGCTGAATACTTGATGTCTGTCTATATAACTATATATACTCGGCTCTTTTCCCTTTGATTTGTCATTATTAGGGTAAGCCCTGTGGCTTCTATTAAATGTTGGATTTTGTTTTAAATATTTTTAAATAATTAAATAATTCATGATTTAACAACCATGGAATGAATTTATTTCTGTGCAAAGGGCCCACAGAAAACCTGTGACTTACTTATGCCCTTTACAGTAATATGTAAGTGGAATTTAAGCCTTGGATAGCTCTCCTGGACTAAGATGCAATTTACTGAGTGAAATCATGTCTCTGTTGTAAGTGACAGTTTAATGTTTTTTCACTAACATCAGAATTTCACTTAATGTGATTAACTGCCTGTGCATCAGGATGATGATATTTTTGCTACCAGCTCTTCCCTTTGGCTCCTGTATACTCAAAGGCAGCCACCTTAACTGTAAGATGAGGCCATTGCAACTACTTAAATTTCAGACAGTCACTGTATGAACACATTTAGAGTGTAAATAATTACCTGTGAATATGCACAAGCATTTAGCTGTATTATTTGCAATTAGTAAAATACATGAAGTGCTTACTTACCCTTCGTTTTTTCCTTGATCGGTAGTATGGTTGTGACTTAACATAGGCTGCCTATGAAGTTCTAGCCCTCTTACCCCATTTTCTTCCTCAGGTGTAAGGAAGCGCTGCATCACAAAGAACACACGGTACTTAAGACATACTTATCTGCACTGTTGTGTTTATCTCAAGTATAATATAAGCAACATTTATTTATTTTGATATCTCTTTCTGTGGCTTCAGCAATACTTTTTCATGCCATCAGTTATCTTCAATTTGTTTTACCACGCACTCACAATTCTGGTTTATGTAAAAGGACTTTGGGTGCGAAGGTGAAGGGGACAGGGGCACATCTGGTGTTCTCAGTCCTTCTGGTCAAGAGGAAGGTCCCTGGCAGGAGTAGACGCATCTTGCAGATCAATGCATGGGTGCGCAGGTGGTGGCACCGGCAGGAATTCAACTTAGACCATGGGATGTTGTTCCAAGAACAACTGGTAGGACTCCTAGGAAGAGATGGGATTCACCTGATGGAGAGGAAAGAGCATCTTTGCAGACAGGCTCGCTAACCTAGTGAGGAGGGCTTTAAAATAGGTTCACTAGGGGATGGAGACCAAAGCCCTGAGGTAAGTGGGACACCTGGAGGAAGCATAAGGAGGAGGGGGCAACAGGGAAGGCCTATTCTTCCTGAGACAGTTTGGCAATCGGCTAGTTACCTCAAGTGTCTGTACACAAGCACACAAAGCTTGGGAAACAAGCAGGAAGAACTGAAAGCCCTTTCACAGTCAAGGAACTGCAATGCAATTGGAATAAACAGACTTGGTAGGATAGCTTGCATGACTGGAGCACTGTCATGGATGGGTACAAACTGAGAAGAGGAGGAGTTGCTGTATATGTAGAAGAGCTGTATGATTGCTCAGAGCTCCAGTATGAAACAGGATATAGGCCTGTTCAAAGTCTCTGGGTTAAGGTTAGAGGGGAGAGCAACAATGGTGATGTTGTGGTGGGTGTTATAGACCACCAGACCAGGAGGATGAGGTAGATAAGGCTTTCTTCAGACAACTAGCAGAAGTTTTCAGATCACAGGCCATGGTTCTCATGGAGGGCAATATAGCAGTGCACAGGAAATACAGGAAGTTTTTGGAGAGTGTCAGAGCCATGTTCTTCTTCACCTGCACTCACAAACACAGAAGAATTGGTGGGGGATGAGGGATATAGAAGTGGCAACTTGGGCAGCAGTGACCACCAGATGATAAAGTTCAAGATCCTGACAAAAGAAAGGAGAGCAGCAGAATATGGACCCTGGATTTCAGAAAAGCAGACTTTGACTCCCTCAGAGAACTGATGGGTGGGATGATGACTAGGAAGGAGAATAAGAATATTGCTCAGTCAGGCAGGGATGAAATCGGGCCAAAGCACAATGGGAGTTGCAGCTAGCAAGGGACATAAAGAGTAACAAGAAGAGTTGCTACACTTATGTTACCAACAAGAGGAGGTTCAGAGAAAGTGGGCCTCTAACTGAATGCAGGAGGCAATTTAGGGATAGATGAGGAAGAAAAGGCTTAAGTACTCAATGCCTTTTTTTATCTTGGTCTTCACAGGCAAGGTCAGCTTCCAAACTATGCACTAAGCAGCACAGTTTAAGGAGAAGGTGAGCAGGGCAGTGAAAGAACAAGTTATGGACTACTTAGAAAAGCTGGACATGTACAAGTCCATGGGGCCAAATGCAATGCATCTGAGGGTACTGAGGGAGTTGGCTAATGCGACTAGAGCCACTGGCCATTATCTTTGAAAACTCATGGTGACTGGGGGTGGTTCCAGATGATTGGAAAAGCACAAATATAGTGCTTATCTTTAGGAAGGGGAAGGAGGAGGATAAAAGGAACTACAGACCAGTCAGCCTCACCTCAGTCCCTGGAAAAATCATGAAGTAGGTCCTCAAGGAATCCATTTCAAAGCACTTGGTGAATCCATGCTGACTGCTCCTGATCAATTTCTTTTCCTCCAAGGGCTAGTCATGCCTGACCAACCTGACTGCCTTCTACGATGAGGCGACTGGCTCTCTGGATGCAGGGAAAGCAATGGATGTGATGTACGTCGACTTTAGCAAGGCTTTTGTTACGGTCTCCCACAGCCGCCTTGCAAGCAAACTGAGGAAGTATGGGTTGGATGAATGGACTGGCAGGTGCATAGAAAGCTGGCTGGATCATCAGGCTCAACAGGTAGTAATCAGTGGCTTGAGGACCAGTTGGCAGCCGGTATCAAATGGAGTGGTCATCTGGCCAGGTGCTGGGTCACTGGAAACTGGGTAATGTAGTCCCAATTTTCAAGAAGGGGAGGAAGGAGGACCCAAGTAACTATAGGCCTGTAAGCCTCACCTCGGTGCTCAGGAACATCTTGGAGAGAATCATCAAGGAGCACATCTGTGGCGGGCCAGCAGGGGAAATCATGCTCGGGGGCAATCAGCATGGGTTCATCAAAGGCAGGTCCTGCCTGACCAACCTGATTTGCCTTTTATGACAGTAGCTAAATCCATGGATGATGGTGTTGCTGTGAATGTAGTCTTTCTAGACTTTTTAAGAAGGCTTTGACACTGCCTCTCACCCCATCCTCATCAATAAATTAAGCGACTGTGGCATTGATGCCTACACAGTTGGATGGGTAAAAAACTGGCTGATGGGGCGCACCCAGAGAATAGCGGTGGATGGGTTGCACTCAACCTGGCGAGATGTAAGCAGTCGGGTACCCCAGGGCTCGGTCCTCGGGCCCGCACTGTTTAACATCTTCATCAGCAACTTGGATGAGGGGGTGGAAAGCACGCTGTCCAAGTTTGCTGATGACACTGAGATGTGGGGCGAGGTGGACACACTTGAAGGGAGAGAGAGGCTGCAACTAGATTTAGACAGACTTCAGAAGTGGGCAGATGAGAATAGGATGGGGTTCAACATAGACAAATGCAGGGTGCTGCACCTTGGGAGAAGGAATCCACAGCATACACACAGGCTGTGGCGTTCCCTCTTGAAAGCACAGAGGCGGAACGGGATCTTGGAGTCATTATTGACTCCAGGATGAACATGAGCCGACAATGCCAGACTGCAGCTAGCAAGGGCAGCCATACCTTGTCATGCATCCAAAGGTGCATCTCAAGCCGGTCCGGAGAGGTGATACTCCCCCTCTATGCGACTTTAGTCAGGCCACAGTTGGAGTGCTGCGTCCAGTACTGGGCGCCGCACTTCAAAAGGGATGTGGCCAGCCTGCAGAGGGTTCAGAGGAGGGTCACCCGCTTGGTGAGAGGGCAGCAGGACAGGCCCTACGAGGAGAGACTTAGGGACCTGAACCTGTTCAGCCTCAGCAAGAGGAGGCTGAGGGGGGACCTGGTGGCTGCCTACAAACTCATCAAGGGAGATCAACAGTAAATAGACAGAGCCCTTTTCTCCCCAGCACCACCTGGGGTGACAAGGAACAATGGTAATAAGCTGATGGAGAATAGGTTTAGGTTAGAGATCAGAAGGCAATATTTTACAGTTATGGTGGCCAAAATCTGGAACCAACTTCCCAGGGAAGTGGTCCTTGCCCCTACTTCGGGCAAATTCAAGGGAAGGTTGGACAATCGCCTGTCTGGGGTCTTGTGAACCCAGCATTCATTCCTGCCTGTGGCAGGGGGTCAGGCTTGATGATCTGTTCAGGTCCATCCTGACCCTAGCTACTATGAAACTGAGTGCCCTAGGAGTCAGTCCTGGGGCCAATTTTGTTCAGTATCCTTATTAACTATCTGGAAGATGGGATGGAGTGCACCCTCAGCAAGTTTGCAGATGACACCAACCTGGGGGTGTAGTAGATATGCTGGAGAGTAGGGCTAGGATTTGGAGTGAACTGGACAAATTGTAGGACTGGGCCAAAAGAAAGCTCAGGAGGTTCAACAAGGACAAGTGCAAAGTCCTGCACTTAGGATGGCAGAATCCCACACACCGATACAGGCTGGGGGCCAACTGGCTAAGCAGCAGCTTTGCAGAAAAGGACCTGGGGGCTCCAGTGGATAGTAAGCTGAATATGAGTCAACAGTATGCTCTTGTTGCCAAGAAGGCTAACAGCATGCTAGGCTGCATTAGTAGGAGTGTTGCCAGCAGATCGATGGAAGTAATTATTCCTCTCTTCTGCACTAGTCAGGCCACATCTGGAGTACTGTGTCCAGTTTTGCACCCCCCCAAAATACAGAAAGGATGTGGACAGGTTGGAGGGAGTCCAGTGGAAGGCAATTAAAATGGTTAGGGGGCTGGGACACATGACTTGTGAGAGGCTGAGAGAATTGGGCTTATTTAGTTTGCAGAAGAGAAGACTGAGAGGGGAATTTAATAGCAGGCTTTAACTACCTGAAGTATGGTTCCAAAGAGGATGGAGCTAGATTGTTCTCAGTGGTGAGAGATGATAGAACAAGGAGCAATGGTCTCAAGTTGTAGCAAGGGAAGTTTACGTTCGATATTAGAAAAGAACCTCTCTCACTGGGAGAGTGGTAAAGCACCAAACCAGGTTACCTAGAAATGTGGTGGAATCTCCCCATCCTTGGAGGTTTTTAAGGCCTGGCTCAACAAAACCCTTGCTGAATGATCTAGTTGGGAGATGGTCCTGCTTTGAGCAGGAGGTTGTACTAGATGACCCTGAAGTTCCTTCAAACCCTAATTTTCTATGATTCTATGACTGCACCACATTTGTACATAATCTCTATTGCTTAGATAAGAACACAAGAGGTGAAATGACTTTTAGAGTAACTTTCAAAAGATCTGGCATGGGATAATGTTTTTTTCAATCAAAGACTTTAACAAATGGCCCAAATAATCCCATTTAAAACTAAGCAGTTTTTTGTGTGCTTTTCCCCTTAACACCTAACCACCAGAGAGAGCAGGTTATGGCATAAGCAAGCACATGTCCCCCCAGGGAAACTACACCCACCCATCATGTTTGTTTCACAATCTCAGACAGAACTCCCAGAAAATCTGCTCTTCAGTTTGAATCATCTTACTTAGCAGTCAGTATGGCAACGTTGTGATATATCGTACTACCTCAGGACAACAACAGTCAAACTGCCATAACACTGGGACAATTAAATATCATCTACTTAAATTACGCCTTGCATAAAATAGTCATGCTCAATCCAGAAAATATTCACTTAGTCATAGAAGTACTTTGTACCATTACATCTGAAGAGTTCTTATTTGCTAGTAATCTGGCTTCTTCCAGAGGCTGAGTATCTTTTTCATAGGCAGATGCATTTCTCTCTTGTAATCTTAACTGACTAGGGGGAAAAGCAAATTTCACTTTAAAAACATTGTTTCTTGTAACATCAGTAATATCATTGCCTCCTGGTTCTCTGAAACAGGAGGACTTAATGTGGTAGAGCCTTTGCTGATCTGTTTGATAATGACAATAGTAGTTATTTTAAATATTGACATCTCTTCTATAATGCAAACTACTGCAAAATGACTATAATAAATAATCTTGCCCTGGTACTATAGTTGAAATAGCTCAAACAGTAAGTATTTTCAATCTGGAATTTCTATGATAATAATCAAGACTTCTGGTTGCGTGCTCTGACGCCCCAAATGAGAGTCTTCTGACTTCAGGGGATATTTGATCAAGCCTCATATACCCCATAAATGTGTACTTACACTTGAGTGAAAGGATCCCAATTGTCATTATATAAAGAAAGCAGGCAGTTTTTCTCTAGGGTCACCTCAGTTGCCCAACTTTTTTTTGTGCTCTCATCCTTCTTTTTATCAAGGAAGTTCACTTCAGTAGCTGTCCTTCCTGGAGGATCACTAATGCTTGAGACTAATTCGCTCTGTCAAAGTAACCATATTATAGACACCTTAAAAAGTTACAATACATGCCCATGTATTTTGTTTCTACAGTCTCTAGTGACTCATACTCAATAGTTCTACCCTTTAAGTTTTAGAGGAGGACTCTTAAATTCAGATGGCATTAAAAGCAATTAGCATATTTTGAAAGCATTTAGTGATCTATTATTTGGTCAAATGTGGAACTATGGGAAGCAGTTACATTTCTTTACAATTTTATAATCCAAGTCCAAATGCTACCATATTCACAAGCAAACTGTGATTTTTGTGAATCTTGTGCAAGCAGAGTCTGTATTTTCATACTTTTTCTCAATTAAATTGTAACAATTTGCAAAGAAGAAAACTTTCACATTTTCAAAAGTTTTAACTATCTTTTTGTGAATCTGAATGCATATGTCATTTCTTTCCCAGTGCAGTTAATTTCACCAATGCTATAGTCACATTTAGATTTTCAACAACATGACTAATGAGATAAGGGAAAGACTCAGATAATTAGTTCCACTATACACATTTCTGGAACCCCTTGAAGTTAATGGGCTTTGTCCCTGTGTAACTGAAAAAAGAATCTGGTCCCTAAATTGTAAGACTTGAGGAGTTACCTCAGGAAGAACAGAACAAGATGAAATCACAGATTCACATGCAGAGAGTGAAGGAGATGTTAGAAGCCTTATCTGTGAAGAGGAACATCGACTGTACAAGTTATCATCCATTTTCTCTTGCACATCTTCAAGCAGCATTCCAAGCCTAAATATTTCTCCCTCTACTTTTCTAAACCCAAAATACAAAACACAAAATATTATAATCACCACTTCAATAAACTGTTCTTATTCTTCACTGAAATACCAAGGTTAAAAGAAAGTGGTCACCATCTATAAAACAAAGCCATAACTCAAAATATATTTAATTAAATCTTCAAGTACTTGAATAAACATATTGATTATAGTGTGGCTCTAGTACAAGTAATACATTAATTATAACTAGGATACATAAGGTATTATCAATTTCTTACCATATTAAATACAGTGTAATTGTATTCTGAATATTGAAAAGTTTTGACTAGGATATAAATAAAGTTATTTAATAATGTATTTTGACAGACTTCTTTCCAGCATAGAATTAAGCACTGCAATTTGCCATCACCTTTCTAAACTAAACTAAATTTTAGCCAAAAAAAAGTTTGGGCTGAGATATATAAAGGCATTTAGAACCCTATCTGCCTCTAAGTACTGAAGTACACCGTTTTGACACTACTGACATTTTCAGAAGTTCAACTCAGCTGTAGGCTGACTCCATTGGCACCAAAGGTTTTTGTTTAGCAGTGGTTGCAAAGCTGCTCCGGTTAAGTGTGGGACAGCACCAACACAAGTAGCTCAAAGGCCTAGTTCAAACTAAAGTTCTGCTGTTTTCAAATGATGCACGGTTCATCACTAGACTCAATCCTGTAATCACTCTTAGAGCACACTAAGCACCTTTTATCTGCTAACTCTTGCATCAGGAGCGTCAGAGGCCACTGACAAACAGAGCGGCAGTAGAATGTCTGCAGTGGTATAAAAACTAGGGCTAGTATTAGAGAAGTACTGAGCATAAGCACAAGGCAAACGGGATTTTATCTGTTAGGGTATGTTTTAATAGTTTAACTCCAGGAAAGGGCTTGGGGCAGAGCATCCAACACACTGGGAAGTGCCTTTCTCCACGTGTCGTCTAGGTGCACCAAACAGATACCCACTTAGGTATCTAATCCCTTCACTCCTGGCCAGTTTAGGTAGCAGTCAGATAAACATGATCACTTCTGATTATCCCTTCTTTAAGTTCTTTATATACACTGAAGGTAGAGCCTACTGTTTAAGTTGGAACCAAAAATTCCCATGGGCAACAAGATACACAGGAGCCACCCACAGCAACATTGAGCAATACATAAATATCATATTTACTCAAAACCAAGATGAGAATTCCCTCCAAACAACACAGAAAGGAAAGAAACTTCATCTTGGATTTGAGTACTGGCCCAGGGCAGGTGGCAGCTCAGCTTGCACTCTGGCTTAGTGCTGAAGACAGAGCTGAGCCCTCACCTGCCCCAGGCTGGAACGACTCCTTTGGTGGGGAGGGGGCACACTGGGGTAGACTCCAAGATGGGGGACAGGACCTGCAGCCTGTTCCCCCGTCCATTGCTTCCCATGGCCGTGCCTGCAACCTCATCCCCTGCTCCCACCTATAGTCTGCCCCCAGCCTGTGCTCCCCCCCACTCCAGCTGCCACTCCCCCTTTAGCTCAAACTCTAGTCCCTCCAACCTGAACCTGGTCCAGCTGGGAGCTGCTGTTACCTCTCCAAAGCTGGGCTGCTACTGATTGCCCCGGAGCTGGAGCAGAAAGTAAGCGGGGGAGGAGGAGGGAGTAGGGAGAGGTAGGTATTGCTGGGGGAGACAAGAGGCAGAGGGACAGGGTGGGGGGCAGGCACAGGGGACAAGGGCTGGGTGGGTAGGAAGTGAGGGGCAGGCAGAGGGGCCAGGTAGCAGGAGGCAAGGGCAGATAGCAGGGGGACATGTAGAGGGCAGTCACAGGGAGCCAGTGCTTTCCAAACCACAGCACTAGGGGGATGAATTTAAGGCAACCTTCCACTAATTAGGTTCTATACATGGAAAATTATAACAAATTTATAATTTTCCCTGTACTGGATCTAATTTTTTTGGGGGGAGGTCATTTTAAAATCAAAGCTGTGTTAGATTCAGGTAAATATGGTATGTTTAAGTGCTTTAAGATCTGATTGTTTGCATTTAAAAAAGCAATTATAGTATGTATCAAAGCACTTTACAGCAATTGATAAGCATAAATATCCAGTTTTAAAGGTTGGAATTCTCTCTCTCAGAGAAGGTTCATATTATAAACGTAATACAGAGACCAGAGACTCAGGAGATCAGGTGTCAGTTTCCGTTTCTGCTACAGAGTCCATATGTAACTTTGCTAAGAGGCATGGATTTCTTACTGTGCTATCTTTTATTGGACCAATTACATAGCTCGAATAGAATTAGACAAGTTTCTGAATGCAACATAGTCTTAATCTGATGAAGAATGTCTTGCATTCAAAAGACTGTCTGACTCCATCCCAACTATGCAATTGGTCCAATAAAACATACCATGCTAAGAAATCCATGCCTCTTACATGTTTCCTGGACCATCATGCTATAACATCGCTCTAACATAATCATAACTTTGCCCAATCACTTAGCCATCCTCACTTTCTCATACATAAAACAAGAACAATAATCTTTACTTGACAAGAATTTTGTGAGGGTAAATTAATTAATGTTTATAAGATGCTTAGATAATGGGAGCACAAACAAGTACACGTACTGTTTAGTAGCCATATCTCTGACCTGTCAGGATCAAACTCGCCCACACTTATGGGGTTGTGCTTGTAATTCTGTAGCTGTAAACCACGATGTTCCTCTCTAGTGGCTACATATTTCCGTTCCAATGCATCAAGGTATCCCTTTAATTGCTTTAACACCTTAACAAGTAAAAGGTAATTTATTTTGAAATTACTTATTTAGCAATTTGTATTGATCTACATTATAAGCCTAATTCTATTACTACTGAACAAAATAGTTTCACTGCTGATTTCACTAAAAGCTTCTTATGGGCATAAATTGCCCTATCTACTCATGAGGTCTTGCTCAGACAAAATTCCCAATAACTTCCATAACAATTTGACTAAAGGTCTTCATAAACAGTTTCAGGTTGAGATTTATGTAATAATTTAGAGCAGTAATGCTCAGTCTCTCTGGGCTATGGGGCCCAGATGAGTGGTGTGGGGTTGATCCGTGGGCCTGATCCCATGTGCAGGGTCAGCATCTGGGGTCGATTTGCGGGGTGAGAGATGGCAGCATTAATTGCCGCAACTCCACCATCAAATTTCCAGACTCATGGAGAGCCCCATGGGGTGGATGACAGCTCTGAGGGCCAGAGGTTGAGCACCACCAGTTTAGGGAATGTAAATACTTCATGAAAATTCAAATTTTTATCTTGGCATTTTTTATACTACAGTAATTTTTCCAGGGATAGAGCAAAAAATGTTTCATTACCAATATAATATGACTTAATGAAAAAGTTAAGTTACCATACTTATAAATCTAATGCCATTTAAAGCACATTTACAATAACTGAAAAACATTAAAAACGTGAATTTACCAGACAATGATCTTGTGAAGATGGGGCCTGTGTTACATGTTTATAAAAATCTTCAACCTTCAACAGAAAATTGGTAACTTTAATATATGATTGTAGACTTTCTAAGCAACTAAATATATGAGCATCAGCGTCAAACAGACTTTTAATAAAGCTCTTTCATATATATTACTTCAGCTCTCAGTTGTTCTGTTTGTTCCTTTAGCATTTGAGACATCTTTTCTCCTTCTGTTGTTTTTTGCAACAAGTTAAGATTTAAACACATTTCTCCTGCTGCACCAGGTGATGGTAATGCTGTGATAATTCTCCCAGATTGTAATCCTACATAACATCATAAAAATAGAGGATAAAGTATCAGTTGAAATTTCCAAATAAAGCTTCCCTGATTACATAACATAAAAATAAATCAGCCATAACCATGTAAAACGAAGAACTTATGTTATTTGCAAAACCAACATAAATTCAACTACTTGACAAAGCTACTTAGGACAAACCAAGTACAGGTTGTGCAGAATAGTTAAGAGAATGAAATATAGATACTTCAGAAAATATCCCCTTACCTCCTGAGTGAATGGCAAAGTTTGGATTAGGAGACCCTGCAGGAGGATATCTCTGTTAAGAATATATAAAAGGGCCTTTAAAAAAATAAGAATAAATTTCTATATAAATAACTTAACTTGAAAACTGTTTTAATACTGTGTATCCATGTAGAAATTAAGTAGGAATGGTTAATTAGAAACAAGCAATATGCAAAAGGTATTTTGTTTAATTAACATATTGAGACTATCAGGTATTTGCATTTAAAATATTCATATTCATAGAGCAGAATACAAATCTAAGTGGTAATCGTGGTACATTTATGAGACATTATTTGCTACTCCCGTTGTACAGTGTTAAACTCCTAAATCTCTTATGTCGCCAAACATGTCTACAAAGAATATGTACAAACAAAAAGAATACTAAGCGGTAAGTTGCTTAGTAGACTATGCACACTTCCTATCACTCTTAGAGAAAAAATAAGATACTAAAAGTCTCTTGAAAAATGTATTCAGTTTTATAATATTCTGATAGATTTACCTTATAATCAAATCTCAGGTGATCAATATGATTCTGAGTTTCGGCCTGTTTTGTCAGCATCTTGCATTCATCCAAAGTAAAGGGAAACAGTTATTACTGTGTTGCAATACATATTTAATACATTTATACACTAAGGTACTAATCCTTCAAAGAAGAAAAGACCAGATTTATGTATATGAGTAGTCCCAAAGACAGATGCTGCATATGAAAAGTGACCTTTAAATGAACTGCTGTTTACAATAATAAAGGAAATCCTAAAATACTGGATTAAGTAATTTAAAAAGGGACCCACAGTCAGTCAATAAAGGTCATCACAAAAAAGGTTTGGGGAGTTAAAAGGGCAACAACAAAACCACCAATGGCTTACACAGAATCAAGATCAGGCACACTATTAACATATACTTTTAATTATTGTTTTAAATCCTAAAAATGTAAATCTACTATCCCAGTGGTATTCAGCCCTCCAGCCCTGTGAGCTTGATGATTGGTACAGGGCCAGTTACAAGCCAGATCCTGTACCCCAAATCTGGCAGTGTCAGCCCAAAGTTGCTAGGCCATGGACTGAAACTGCGTACTGGCGTGATCTAGAATACAGAGCCACATCATCCAGCCTGTGGGGTTCCCCACAGGTCCAGGAGTTTGGCAGTAGAGGAGCAGCAATAAATGCTGCCACTGTTCCCCCGCTGCAAAATTTCCAGACCTGTGGCCATGGGCTGGATAATAGTTCCACAGGCCAGAGGCTGAGCAACAGTAAAGGGAGTTAGAAACACAATATTTTGCAAAGGTTTGGGAATCAAAAAATTAAACTGACTATAACCAGTTTCATAGCACTTTGACAGGAAACATTTAAATTATAAATCACAGAGATATTCTGTAATCTTATCAAAGGTTTCTTTTAATTAAAGCTATAGCCTAAAAGCCCAGTCCTGAAACTCTTTACTCACGCAATTAATTCTTAAATTAATAGAATTGCTGGCTACTGGAGGACTGTTTGCATAAAGAATGATTTGTGTTGAGCTTTGCAGAACACTGCACTTAATTTCCACTGACATTAATATTTTATGAAATCCTAGCCAGCTAGCTGAAAAGATCTCATTTACCTCTAGCTGTTGCCCTAGTTCAGGAATACACATTTCCTTTTCTTGAATCTTTACTTCACTAGAATCAAAATAATTCATAGTTTCTAAAACATCTTTCACAACTGATGATTTCACAAGCAAATTGGGGGAGGATTTCGGGTTTTTTATTATGGGAATTGATTTATTGTTATTTCCTTTTGGTGTTTTAACTTTTGAAGCAACTTTAGAAACATCAGGAAGGCAATAATGAACTTGGCCTTGGCCATATTTAAATGCATGGGATGACACTGTTCTCTCAAACAGACTTTTTTGATACGCATGCTCTTTTCCTGTGTTTTGAAAGCTGTTTGTATCCTCAGTCCCAGTAACTGATTCAGAATTCTTCTGTATAAGCTCTCCCTCATCAAAATAAGAAGTAGCTCCCTTTTCTATAACAAATTTATTTTCATCTAGTAAATTGTTATCTCTGTGAACAGCTTCAAATATTTTTTCTTGCTTTAGGAAATTATAATCTTCAAAGGACTTTGCCTGTGCTTCTGCTGGTAAAGTGGGCTTAGTGCATTCTGAAATCCTCATTTTATTCAGGATAGCTTCATCAACACTTTCAGTAAGAGAGGTCTCTGGGATAGTCTCACAATCAATTAAATGGTTTGCACTCAATAGCTCATCTTTGGAAAAATGACGCAAAAGAACATCAGAAATTTTTGAGTTGGCGAAATGTTCATTTCTAACTGGGATACTGAACACTCCAACTGTTAATTCCTTCTCAAAAGATGTTCCACTCACTAGAGCATCTCTTGTCATTTCAGTTTTAATTCCACTTGCCCTTGTAGCAGGTGGATGGTAAGGAAACACCTTTTCTTGAGGTACTTGTTGCATTTTATAATTCGTCTCTTTTAAACGGTTGCTAACTTCTGAATAGGTTAACTGTAAACAATTATCAGATTTCTTTTCGATAAGTGTACAATCCTTCAAGTTATCTGAATCACTGATGTGTTTGTAGGTTCTTTCCAAGTCTCCATCATAAGGTAAGTCTTCTTGCTCCTCATCAGTTGCATCCCCAGAATAGTCACACTTGTCTAAGACTATGTTATTTGCTGGGTTTTTCATCCAGTCAGATAGCTTGCTTTTACCCTTCCTGGTTGGTCCACTTTGATAATATGCCATAAGAATTTCACTGACTGTCAGTTTTCATGTACATTTTGTGTCAGCTTTTGCATTACTGCATGTATCAGATTCTGTAAAATATGAAAAGTTAGGGTGGTCTTTATGTACATTAGAACCATACCTAGGCAAAGCACACATTTTAGATCACAGCCTGTAGTTATTTTCCATACAAATTGCCAGTAGACTTTAGTGGGAGGCATGCACATGAGGAGCCCAATTCTCTTTTACTTGGGTACAAAACTGGATCAACTGTGCTGAATCCAATTTGATTTTTGTTTAAATTATATCGGAGAAAAGAGGAGACTCAGACCTATACCCTACAGCACCAAGTTAGTTGGTCCTTGTTAATTAATCCACCCCTAACATTTACAAATTGAATCAAAACAGACTAACTTGGTAATGGGGTCAGGAATAGTACATAATGTTTATAAAGCTACTTTATATTTAACAAGATCTAGGCAAGCATAACATTGATCTGTGTTTTTCCTATACAAAGGACTAAATCCTGTCTACACTATAAACATAGAAGTAGCTTAACCAGCCGGCTGAGGATTTCCCTAATGTTTAGGATTCACTGGGTGGCTTAGAGCTCGTGTAGGCAGGCTTCTACTCAGGCCTTCCCCCTCTAACCCTACCCTACAACAGTCTTTGGAGAAGAAGTGGTGCTCTTTAAATTGCTCCTTGTTAGCAAAGGCAGACAGAACTTGGACCAGAGAAGGGATACAAAGAAATCCTGAAACAACTACATTCTGAATTACTGCTAAACTACTACAGATGCAGAGTGGTTCGTCGTTGCAAAAAAAAAACCCAGCTTTTCTAATTCGTATGAAATAAAAAGTATTTTTAATCTCATTCATACTTTATACTATTATTTTCACCTCTGTAAGTGTTGTTATTTATGGAGTGCCAAAGGACACTGTACACACATGAACAGAGACAGAAAGAAAATGAGTTGCAGCCCTAGAAAGAAATGGAGACAGGAACTACCTCTGCTTTTGATAATCACATGTTCTAACTCTGAGAGGTTTACTCTCTGCCAATACTTTCAAAAGGATTTTGGGAATATGCCATGCCCCAATTTAGCAAACTTGACAAATGATAGAATAGGCAAACTAAGGGCAAAATTCACCCATCAAGCCCCATTTCTTTCTGCAGCATTGGTTCGAAGCGTTTCAAGAGGGATTTTCAAAAGAGATGCTCAGTTTCATTATTGACTTCAATTTTATTCTTTGGAACAAAGAAGTTTCCTAGGCATCTGCGTGCAGCGCTTCGCAACACAGGGACCTGTTCTGTCCTGGCGAGCGCTATATTGATGCTGTGGTAGGAAAGGCCTCCTGGCTGCGATACGGGGATGCAAAGCAGGTGCATGTCTCCCTGCCGCACCCCGGAGTCACTCTGGAGCTGCTGTGAGCCCTTCTCTCGAGCAGAGACGCAAGAAGGAAGAGATGGGGGAGGGGAGGGGAGCGGGGGAGCGGTAGCTACAAAGGGGACGCGGCAGTGACATGCGGCGGGCGGATGAATTTCTCTCCCTCACTCCGCGCCAGCCCCCCCCCGCTTTTGTGTGTCAGGCCAGGCACCAACTTACTTCCCAGCTTTTCTCGAGGCAGCGGGGAGGCTGCGCCGACCGGCCCGGGGCCCTATTGCTATCCCCGCGGCTCGTCCTGCTTTCCCCGCGCACGACTGGCGCCTCACCCCCACGCAGCCGAATGGCCCCTACCCTCGCTCCCGCAACCGCGGTGCCGGGTTACGCGGGGCCCGTCTCCGGTTACAACCGCTGTAACCCGGCACCGCCGCCCCATCACGCCCCCGCTGGCGCCTTAGCTTATTCCTACCGCCCCTGAGTGAAACCTGGCTCCGCCCACCGTTCACCCGGCCCCTCCCCCGCCCCGCGTATCCTATTGGTCAGAGCGAATGATGCCGGTTTCCGGGACGGGAGCTGGACCGTCCCCCTCGGTAGTCAGGGAAACATGACGCATGCGCAGAGCGCAGCCAGGGGAGCCGTTGGCCACTCTGTACCCTGCGCAGGGGAGGCGGATCCTCCGGCTGTGAGAACAGTGGCGAGCAGCGCGCCGGCGATTGGCGGGTTCGAAGCGGGGGGCGGGGGAGAGCCGGACTCCTGCCCCGCGAGCAGGAGCGGCCGCGGCCCCTCCGAGGCGGAGGTGGGGTTTCGTTGCAAGCGCGGCCGCGGCGGCTGCAGGCGGTCCGGGGTTGAGGTGAGTGTCGGTCCGGCGCGGGGCGGTTTTTGAAGCGACGAAGACAAAGGAAGGATTGTCCGCAAGGAGTGTGGGGCGAGACAGTGCCCCCCCAGAAGAGGGGGCGGAGGGGGGAGGTCCCGAGGCAGGACCAGCCCGGCCCCAGCCGTGCCCGGCAGACGCGGGGCTGCTCTGCGGGTTGGGGGGCGCGGCGTGTCCGGGGACCCTGCGTGAATCCCCTACCTGACGCCCCGCGTAACTTTCCTCCAGGTAAGGCGGCTCCCGCCGCTCTGCGGGTGCAGCTCCCAAGCGCCTAACCCTGAAGGTTGTTATCTCTTCTGTTTTCTCTTGTCCAGAGGGAGTAACGAATCCCACTTATTCCAACCCTTCCTTGCGTGTTATATTTCTAGAGGCCTAATCGTTTCTCTCTCATTCCTCCGAACTCTTTACAATTTCTCCACCTTCCTCAAGCATCATGCCCCAAACCAGATGCTGTGCTCTTGCTTGGGCCTCCCTAGTGCAGAGTAGAGTGGGTGAATCCCTACCCGTGACTTGAGTGAGACGCTGCTGTTAGTGCATCCCACAGAAAACCTATCAAAGACAAAACCACCCGCTTACCTGTGGGTGCCACTTCTCACAAGACAGCCACTTCCTCTCCAGCCTGTCAGGTCTAATCCTCAAAGGGAGCTTACAAAACCCTTTTCATAGACGAGCCTATGAACTTCACTTCGTAAAGCTACAAAAAATCGTGGACTAAATATAGACATTGGATTTACAGCGCATTATAACCTGCCTAACATCCGATAACCCCAGGTAACGCCTCCACACTTTACCAGCTACATCCTATTGCCAGGTCAACATTTCCCCTTTCCCTCCCCTCCATGGACCTATTGTCTCCCCTGGCCTCTGATCCTCACTGCTACGCATTTGCATTTTCACAGACCTGCATTTTGTATTTTAGCTTCCGTTCCATGCAGCAGAATACACAAAACACCAGCAGATGCTCCCTGTGCCTGAAAGCTTGCAAAAAATAATTTTCCTAACGATTTAGTTGGTCTAATAAACGATACCACATTTGCCCAAAGAACCTTATTTCCCAATATTACTGGCAAACAAGGAGAGGATGGGAGTTAATACTGGAACTGTAAAGTGGGCAAGGAGTTTGGCTAAAGGAAGGCTATAACAGGTGTTATTGAAAGGGGAGTTACTCAGCTGGGGAGAGATTACTAGGACCCATCCTATTTATTATTTTCTTTAACCACCTTGGTGCAAGAACTTGGTATGAAATTTGAAGGAGACAAAGTTAGGAGGTATCACCAGTGTGGAAGCAAATCAATTTTTTTACAGTAAGAATCACATAACCTTGTGGAATAGCGTAATAGAAATATTTTGAAACTTAGCAGTACTCAATGCAAAGCTGTGCATTTGAAGAAAAGAACAGTATCTCTTAGATGTGGGCTTCATGCTGCCCCTGTTCCCTATCTTGTGCTACTGTTGAGAAGTATATCCCATCTGTTCACTCCCAATCAGTACTTGCCAAACTCAGAAACAAATTGGTGTCCTCAGGTTACAGCTGCCCTGAGTCTTACGGAAGATTAATAAATTTATAATAGTTCATATGTTTATCTCAGTTGGCCATAGACTTCAAGTGATATTCGTTTGATTAAAAAGTTTATCCTTAATAACCTGACATCAATCTGCGGATAGCATTTGTGGTGGTCTTGCAGCTGTCCCTTGTTTCTGTAGCAAGTTTGTCTTCTGATTTTTGTCATGCATCTCTAAACCCAACATGAAACTTCCTCGTCCAAGTTCTGACTCTTCTAACATTTCAGACAAATCAAAGACTTGGCCAGTGGTATAGTCAGTATTAGTAAGCAAACTAAAAGAACTGAGAGTAATCCAATATTTATTCCACAACAGCTCAAGCAATTTGCGATCCAAAAATGACTTTAAGCAGATTTCTAAAGCATATTACTGTTTACAGTGCGCGCGCACACACAAAAAAAAAAAAAAATTTGAAGTGGAATAGTCTGGTACTCAAAAGAACCTTCAGCTGGAGTTTTATAGCCCTTGGGATATATTCTAAATGCCCAAAAATTTTCTAGTACTTTTCCAGTAGATACTGTTCTTGTTGGATCAATAACTGCTGTTACAAAGGGTTTCTGAAATTGCTGGTTAAGTATCTGAGTACTGACATCTATCCCTGAAGCCTTCGCCTGGGTAACTTTGGTACTAACCAGCTGCATTTTCTAGATGACCAACTTGCTTGGCATTCTCAATGTAGGGAGCCAGGTACTTTTAGGTAGCCACCTGCACATTGGTGCACATCTTGGTGCCCTTGACAAGCAGGACAAAGCTGTCCATAATGATCATGGTCTCACTGTACAGCTTGCCCAGCAGGAGCCCATCACCTCTAGGTTGTTGCATCACCATCTCTAGGAGCACCAGCACCGAAATCTTGCAGTATTTGAAGCAGTGGTAGTCCCTGGTCCAAGGCTTGGCCTCTAGGATCTCCTGTTGCTGCTTGCGGTCATATTTGTAGATGTTGTTGATGCTCTGCACTTCCTGCACGTTGTCAGCCAGTTTCCAGGTCATCTGCACTGCTGCTCCCCCAGGCACTGGCGCCAGTGCCAGCACCAGTCCCTTTACTCTCAGAGGCTGCTGGGGCAGATAACAGTACATAGAAACTTTCCCCTGCCTGGCCATGCAGCAGGGTCAGTGCTGCAGATTGGCCAGGCAGGGGAAAGAGGTTCCATGTGCTTTGTGCCTGGGGGGGACCTGGGGCCAGGTTGTGCCTGACAGTAAAGGGGGTGGGGCAGGGAGGTAGAAGCTGCAGAGGGGAAGTGGAGGGGAGTAGGAGGGTGCTGTGGGTTTCTGGCCCTCTGGGGTAAGGGCTGCAGCAAGCGCCTACTCCTCCCTCTGCTTCATATGCAAATATAAAACAAGGGGCTTCCCGCCCCGCCACACTTGCTGACTGGGGGGGCTGGGGAACACCTTACCTTATGTTCAAGTAAATACAGTAGGTTTAGGAGCACAGACTGCCAAGGGATGCTTTAGTTAGGTGCAATATCTGAAAATATTACTTTTGGTTTTTGTTGGTTAGGTATCAGCTGGCCTTAAAGCAATTGCATCTCATTATTTTTAGAGAGCTTGGTTCTCACTTATCATAGGTACAGATCAGTGAAACTTGTGTGTGCAGCCTAGAAAATGTTCAACTGGTGCAATGCTCTGAAACAGAATTGCTTATGTGATTGGTAGGAAACACATGCATCAGTTTTCATGTAGTTTCTCAGTCTTCAAGTGTTTTGCTTTCTTGTATTTATTACATTGTAGCTTTGCAACTGTGTGCTTTTTGTCTTTTTCTTTGTTTGCATGCTCAGGGTTTTTTTTAACATACAATAGAGCAAGGGCGGGTTTGCTAGAGGACAAGAGATTTCTATTGTGACCAAAAGGTTTTTGTAGAGAGATGAATGCTAGAATGAACCTCATAGATCTGTTGAGAATGGAGGCAAACTACTGTTTACTTTATCATGAGGAAAATCAATTGGTTACAGTACTTTATATATAGATCTCCATCTGCTTCCCCAGCAAAATTAGGATAGTTCAGCACTAACAAATTATTTTTGCATGTCTTCTCACATCATATTAACTCTATTTTTTCCTCTGTGTTTATGGTAGTAAATTAACATTAACCACTCTGATAGAAGGTAGATAAGGCAAAAATGCTACCAAACTCTTAACCTTTTCAATATTGTGCATGTTCTTCATGTCCAAGCCAAACCACAAGATTTGCTGAAGTGCGCTATTCTTGAAACAACATTCTCCAGCTTATCATTATTATAATTGATTTATTTCACTTTAGTATAGCATGTTTCTATTATCTGGGGAATGCTGAGTTTTAGACCAAAGGGTGGTCTTGGCAGTGAATAATTCTTGCATCCATATATAATATCCAGCTTCTATAAAAGTGGGGTACCGAAACATATACTCCCTGTATATTAAAAATTGTATTTGCTTGTATAGCATTAAGTTTTGATTGTCTTAAATTCAGTTCATTGTCCGCTTCTGCTGCACTGCTCAGGATGAATTTTTAACACGTTAGTTGTGCTACATGATTTCACATAGCTAGAAAATGCAGTTGTGATTCAGTAGATTTATACTTGCTACTAATACAAAGATGTATGGCACTAATTTATGTTTATCCACTTACAAAATCCAAGGATATACTTTTCCTCCTTTATTGCAAAAAGGACCCAAGTACTTTTTGTTGTTGTTGTCTATCTTGGTTAGTTGGGTCTCCACATTCTAAGGAGATGAGCCAAGTGTGGGTTATTGGGTTTTTAAAATCTGCATAATTTCCAAGGAGTTTCTGATCACCCCTGTCAAAGCACAGATAGATAGTCATTAATGAATGCTGAACTCCATCTGCTGCCCTCTTTCTCATTATTTTGCATGCTCTATTTCCCACACTGAAGGTACTGAATGGTCTCCTTTTTGGATGAGGGAGCTGAAAATCTAGCCAGACATTTGCATGATAGGATTATTCTTTCTGTCTCTTCTGGATAACATTCAAATGTTGAGGTTGTTTTATATACCAAACCTATC